ATAGAGAACTACAAAATCTCTAACAAGAAGTATATTCGCAAATTTAATGTCCGTATTACAAAAAATGAAAAAGAAGTTACATATTTAGATAATACATTAGTAAGATACTTTGTAATATTGTATTTTACACTCCTTTAAATATTCGAAGGAGACTTATTTTTCAACACGATGGCGCACCTACACATTTATCTAAACGTGTTCGCCGTTCCTTGAATGCAACGTATCCAAACAGATGGATAGGACGCGGTGGACCATACTTCTGGTCAACGAGATCTCCAGATTTAACTCCGTTAAATTTTTTCCTTTGAGGGCATTTAAAAAATTACGTTTATCGGCAACCGCCTCAAAATCGGCAAGAACTGAACGAACGTATAATAGAAGCAATTGGAAGCATAACTCCACAAATGATTTACAATGCCGGACGAAGTTTGCATCGAGTAAGAATATGTATACACAAATGAATGGGGAACATTTTGAACAATTATTATAATTATTATTTAATGTATAAAGATTGTATGTTTTTAATTAAAACGTGTTGATAATTAATTTACTTAATGTCAATATTTTGTCATTTTGTTATCTATTATAATATTAATAATTTGTTTATGTCAGTAAATAATAAGACTGCTCTTTTTTTTAAATCTTTGTCAAAATGTTATTATTTTTATATATAATACGCAAATTTTAAATGACGCAAACTCTTACTTCATTAGTATAACATACATTTTAGTGACAAAAAAGGGGCGACATTGTTTGCGTCTTTAACATTGTCCCGCACCTGAGCGCGCGAATTTTAGGCGATCTCATTCGTTATCTTTGAATGCTTCTAACTCAAAAAATATTATAGCCTCGACATTTTGGTATTAGAATTTTTGTCTTAGAATGATTTCGAGAATCTACTGATAAAAAGAAATTCGGTAGTTGCGGGACACCCTGTATATATATGTTTGTTAATAACTATTCAAAAGTATTTCTGATAATACTAGAATTAGACTAAGGTGACCAACTCCTAGCGCATGGAAAGAGGGACATTTTAAAAACAGAACATTTTTACATACATAAATTACTTTACTGAAAAATATATTTGTAAATAAATTTTTATATAATATTTTATACATATATATTTATGAGAATACTCAATACACGATAACACATCGTATATTGATAGAAAATGAAACATTATATAGTAACATGTTCCCATCAACTTTACTCTAAAAGTTAGAAAAATNAATCTCAAAGAGGTTGCGTTCAGGTTAGGAAACAAAGCGCTCAGTGAGCAATTGAATTGTGATTCTTACTTTTAGAAGCAGTTAACATCCGAGTATTGACAAGAAGTTTTGCAACCAGTATCTTTTTTGAACTCAAAAAAAAAAGAGTATAAAAACATATACCAATCACAAACGACCGTTTACAAGCGTTCAGTAAGTGGTCGTACTTGACGTACTTCTAGATAGCAACGATGCCGACTCGAGTTTCAGTAGCACGTGACACGATACGCATCCCCTCCACTGCTACCGAGACTCGAGTTTGGCATCACTGAATGGTAGCTCAATAATTTCTTTTTGTCATTTTTTTAAATGACTATTTAATATGTACATCTAAAAAAAGAGGGACAATTCAAAATTATGTCTTTAATTTGGGACAAATTGTGGGACGCATTGTGAAGTGGGACGAAGAGTTAAAATGTGGGATTGTCCCTCCTAATTTGGGACGGTTGGTCACCTTAAATTAGACATACTATAATAAAACATTTCGGCTAAATATTGTTATTATATGTCTTTAAAACATCTTTGCAATATTACATTGCAACTTGCAATGTTGCAACGTTTCTGAAATATTACTGGAAGCTTCGGTGTTGTGTAGGATGATACATATCTATACTACGTTCAATTTGAGGAGAGAAACCGGATGAGCGAAAATTTCGCGCATTTCCCTTATTAAAAAATCTCTTTACTTTACAGCCTTGGCTGTAAAATGTTTTACCAACAATTTCGAACGCAACGCTTTCCCTACGCTACTTTGTCTGCTTTTCTTTTCCCATGCGCAGTAAAATCCTCTTCTCAAATTGAACGCGCCTTGTGCACGAAAATGTTGTCATCTGGCGGCGACAAGAGGCGAAGTACGCTAGACGATCAGCTGTACGCTGTCCGACGACGTGGACAAAAAAAGTGACCTAGTTTTTCAGGATTTCGTACTTTGCACCGAGATATCTTTGTTAGGAAGGCACGGAGAAAAAATTTCGCGAAATACTTTTTTTTGTGTCTCGATCTCAACTTTTGATTGAGTTTAGGCCGAACTTGATCGGTTTAGCCGTTGTTGAGATCTAAAAATCTCGAAAATTCTCATTGGCCGTTCTCGCGTATAAGAGGCACGGGGTAACTCGCGCATCGCGCGCAAACTTTGTTCACGCGTATACTTGACACGAGGCATTACTGTGCTTCTTGATACTTTTAATTTATTGCTGCCATATTTTTGACAGAATAGAGAACAAACAATGTCAATATTGACATTTCATTATCTACTATTAGCAGAGAGGAGACTGAAAGCGGCCATCCTATTGTAGGTTCTTACGACGGTTTTAGCGCTATATCCACAAAAACGGATCTTAAAGGCCGCTATATACATATAATAAATAGACTGCGCGTTCTCTATCTTCTCTATGAAGAGGGAATGGTCAAAACGCAGACAAAGATAGATGCTTTCACTCGTGTTTCTATCTTTGTTTAGTGATATAGTGATTGGCGGACAAGAAAAGTAGTAAAAATGAGAACTAATATAGTAGGGCGATAAAGAAACGTCGAGCAATATAAGGGCGAAAGTGACAGAAGTTGATTGATATTCCGTAAAGTTACATAATGATCCCCACTCTAGACGTTGAGACAGAGACAGAGACACGAGTGAAAGCATTTGTCTCGCTCTGCGTTTTGATTCATTTCCCCTATCACATGCGCAGTTCTTTTTTTATACGTCTGTGATTGAAATGCAGCTTGTCCTTTAGCAGCAGGATTTTGTATATATACACGAACAGTGTAATAATTATTTTACAATATATAAATGAGAAAAGTAAGATCAAGGCTCTTCTTTATTCATATTAGTTTTTATACATTATTTTAATACGAAGCAATAAAACTGTTTTTATACATCAACTAATAAGAAAAATAATAAAATAACTATAAAACTTAATAACTAAAAAAGTAGTATAGTAATATTATTATGATAAAACTTCAGAGTGTTTTGAGAAACATTGACGGATATAATCTCGTCGTCGCAACTCTCGTATTTCGCATGATGTAACAATTGTCGTGTATATCGTGCGAACTGACGAGCACTCTCGTCACGAAAGAAGTCGTATGAACAAGATCCGCAGAACTCAGGTCTCAGTCTTATCGTGAGTGCTAGCCGGATAAACGTGACATAACTCTTGCGATATTGTTATTCCGCGAAAAGAGAAGCGATTATAGGTTTGCATCTTCTCTGAAAGAGAGACACTTTGGTTTTTCTTCCTTGCGTGACACCAACACAAAAAGTCTGCGCGGACAAAATACGCGAATAAGAAGTATCAGACATTTATACGTATCGAATTTTTCTTCTTCAATCTTCTCAGATTTTTTAATTTGACTAAGTGTTAGAAGGCGACATTTACAACAAAGTCTCTTTCTTTGAAAGGTCACGACAAAATTAATAAGAATCGAATGTGCATAACGATATTCATTAAGAATAAATTTACATATTTAGATATCTAGAGACGTTATTTGTCAGTTACATTTAATTGTGTTTGCACGTAAGCGCCAATATTACCATGTGAAAAACTCATACATCTTGCAAAAATCAAAAGTGAATATTTCTATTGTTAATATAAATAAAAATTGTTGAAAAAACTTAAGATATAAAAGAGAATATCGTGTGCAATAATAACATTAACATTAATGAAATACAGTTTAGATGTAAAGATTTTTCTCATGTAGTTGTTCATCTTCGCGAAATGTACTAATCAACAATGCTGATTGCAAAAACATGTTTGCGTATATTTCCGCGTCGCATCGAATGATCCACATCAATCATATTACAGTCTGTATCATATCTTGAAAAACATAATCAACACAGTCGGCCAAAGTGCGTACTTAAAGTCGCGTTAAAATATTTTCACATTGATAAAACAAGCACACTCAAAAGAAAAAAACTCTGCTTTATGAGTTTCAGAGAAAAAAATCAGTTTTGCATTTGTAAGCTACTCCTCATCATTAGTTAAAAAGAAAACATGATTATCTCGCCTAATATGGGTTTGCTAGCGGCCGGAATGGCCACTGGAATTTTTCTTTACATCGGTCTTCGATTGAGGTAAGTCTATATAAAAAAATCTTTAAAATTATTAATCTTAATAATATGGAATGTGTATCCTAGCAAGCAAGCTCACGTGATAATGACGTTAGTTTTTGGTCTGCAAAACGTCAATTATGACATAAAAATGATGTCATTTTGACGTACATATCACGTGATTATGTCACATCTTATTGACGTCATTATATTACGTCAAGTAGACGTGAATATAATAAAAAAAGTCTCATCAATATAACATGGTAAAGACGTTATTGTAAATTTAAAAGGAAAACAAAATACAACATTAAAAGAACAATAGTATCAACATCCCACATAGCACGTAATATTACTGCATTACAGTAATAAAATGACCGCCGAAATGCATCGCAGTAATATTACGGTGATATAAAAAAAAAACGCTTTATAGAAACAAAATTAATTCGAAATTTCACTTGAATTAATTTTTGGAGATCTGGATTCAGTTTGTCAATCAACTGATTAACTAGATGAAAGATACCGAGCCTGGAAAAAATCCTAAGGTGATGGTGGGGGATTTGAAACTCGAGACCTCCATATTTGCAGCCCCTGCACTCAGTCCGCTAGACCACTTGTTCCTTATAATATAATTTTGTCGAGATATATCATGTTGTTTTTTATTCATATCTAAGATTTTGTGAAAACTGCAATATAAATACTTGTTTAATTTTCTTGTGTATTTTTTTATATCAAGATTTTTTTAAGCAATAATGCAACGACAATAGTATATGAAAAATCCGAATTATCAGCGATAAGTGGATTCACGCTTATCACGTAACTTTCCGCGTATCAATGTTCAAGTCGTGCTTCTCATAAGGAACAATATAATATACCGTATGTTTGTCTTATACTCTTGCTTATATGCATCATCGCAATATCGCGAAACGATTCGTGTTGTAGCTGCGATTTCGAACAAATAAAAAACACGCGTTACACCGACACATTTTAGTAGGCGAAAAGCATAAATTATTATCTACATAACGTCTAACTCATTGAATAAAGAATCTTCTCAGTTACGTATCATGATAAAGATAAGTTGAAGTTTGACAATACGTTTAGTTACTATTTTGAAGCGCTTTGAATCGCTCGTAATATAGACCAAACTTAGAACAAGTTGCGTTTATCTTGAATTGAGCTTATTTAACGTGTAAAGCAGATATCGAGCTCAAGACATATCGTAAGATAGCAAGATAAAATATTTGTCTCATACATAGCTATCGTTGACCCAGATTAAAGAATAATTTTGTTTCCTCGCGTCTTATAAAAGAATTGTTACATTAAATAGTTGACGAATATTGTCAACGAATAGGTTCTTGTACAGTGTCCTTTGATTTTTCAATGATCTTTTAGATTTTGATGAGTTATTTCAAAGGACCCAAGTTTTGATTATTCGATGAGTGTAGCCTGTCTTTTGTAAACTGCATGTGCAAATTCAGCTGCGAAACAAAAATCGCGCGTTTAGCAAAACAAGCTCCGTTCGAATCTACTTTTGAATTTTGTAATTGATCATAAAAATAATAAATCAATAGTTTATCCGCGCGTTACACTTATTATATGATATTAATGTTGCATATTTATATGTCATTATACATACGCTATATGTGTTTCGGCACGGAGTTTTTCTTTGATTGTACACGAATCCTGGCATTACGCGACACGAAAGAAACGTTGTTGCGTACAATAGCTTCTAAGTGTATAGATATTCGACGAAGTCTTGTGATTTCTCGAGCTGATTTAGGTTTGCGCGCTCAGTAACAGGAAGTTGCCCACGGCACGGCAAGTGCGTGCGATGCACATTAATATATCATTGCTAATATATTGATATGTAGAAGTGAGAAAAAAAAGATAGAAAAAGAAGAGGGGCAGTGTCATTAAATTGCACGTGACGGGTGGGGAACATCGTCAATCGGGAAGAAACGTCGTTCGCAACAATAGACCCAGTCACGTATCAAACCATGGCGAACAATGGACGCAGCGTAGGGGAACCGGAAGCGTGTATAGAAATCGAACACCCGGGGATCCGCGTCGCGCTCTCTTCATTGTCGGAATGCTTGTTGTCGCAGATAGTCAGTATCGGTGCAACGCGCCGCGTTTTTTGTCAAGTATTGAGCCTATTGCAGGTGTAAAAATGTTGAGCTCTTGATTTTTTATAGAAACCTTCATCTTACGCGTTAACAGAGGCTGAAGAGTCCCCGTTTGATCGCATTTTGATTCGCCATCAAATCGGATGTCGCATTGTGATCTGTCAAAGAGTGTAAGAAGAAAAAAACTGATTTGTTTCTCTGACGCGTATTATATTCAATATCGCCGATACAGACCAAGTTCTCGCTTGATTATATGTCTGAAACTTATTTTACCAAAGTTAGAAATTCATTTTGTTGTTGTTCGTTGGAATTTCACGTCATTATTATTCTAAACCGATAAAGTTTCTATTGTGCTGCAAATTAATTTTCTATCGACTTTCAAGCAAATTTCTCGTCCGTGAGAAGAAGCAACACAAAGAAAACAGAACCGAATGAACACTTCTTTGAACAAACCGAAGTCACAACACAAAACAATGCAAGACAGAAAAGTAGTACAGTTTTAATCGTATGCAAGACGAAAGCGAGAAAACGAGCAACAAACGGACTACAGTTTGTCCTTACGTCCTTACTTTTACTCAATGACAATAGCGCGAAACGTTCGCATTGGTGTTATTGTAATACCGAGCCAAAACAGAAGAACAGATGAAACATTTTTTTTGTAAAATTATTTGCGGGAGAAAGCGACATAAACAGTAAGTATGAAATAATAATAATAACAATAAGCCTATTGGCACAATAATTATTACGTATTTGTAAAATTAGAATTCTAATATATATATATATA